GACTAACGTTTGAGGCCCCCCAAATTTTGACCATTCCTGTTTGTGTTTTCGGACGGTTCCCCCCCTCACAGGGGGCCTGCTTTCCGTCACGGGGTATAAAGCGAAAACTAAAAACGCCGGTGGGTTGCATCCACCTCGCCCCCCCCCCCCACATCACAGCGGTACGATTTTCAAAAAACCCCAGTGTCACCACCCAGACACCCACGTTTTTTAAAATTTTAAATTTTAGCGTTAAATTCAGTTATCATTTATAATTTTCTTTTTTTCATTTTCTTTAATGTAGGTTTAATACTTCATATTTAAGTGTTTTTATTTTAAAATTTTCTAAATAAATAATGTTTAGTTGTCATTTTTTATTCTTTTTCTATCATTAAATTTTTCCTGAGGGGGAGCCACCCTTTGGGTAATATGTCTGAAGTTTTTTACAGGGCAGTAAGCCTTCACCGTTTATTATTTAAAATAGTATATAGTACTAGATGTTTTATTAACTAATTTATTATTATTTTTTATTTATTTTTTTTTTTTTCAAAAAGTTGGCCGTCTCCCCCGAGGCGGGGTGCCCCAAAAAAAGAAAAAAAATCCCAAAAAAAAAATACTTTCTCTCATTCAACATTTTCACCACACTCCACATTACACTGCTTTTGCAGGGGAGCTCAGAAAAAAACATTTTTTGAAGCATTAGTATAAAGAACACAACATATCCCTCCAAACTGCCAATATCCCAAATTATTATTATTATTATTATTATTAATTTAGGGAACTGAAGTACAGATCCAATTCCCTAGATCAAGAGCCCCTCACCAAGGAACCTCCCTTGAGGGGGAAGTTTGCATCTTGAAATTTTGTTTTTATCCAGAAGGAAAAAATCAACCGAACGACTGCTCGTATCCTGAAAAGTTCACATGGTGGGGCATTCGTAAGCCGAGGTTCCACTGTACATATATGTATTTATTGCTTTGGGACACTTTAAATGTCTTAGTATATTATGTGTGGGTGGGGTGGCCTGACTGGCTACCATACTATCAACACCTGATTTCTTAAAATAAATGCTAATCTCACCCTACATTATATCTACAAATATATTAATTGATGAGTGTACTATGTATACGTGTATTTTACTTTTTTATTGTTTTTTTAATGCCTAGTTCTATTGCTAACTTAATATATTTTAGTGTAAACTTGTTAACTAGCATTTATGTGCATTTATAAGTGGAAAAAAGGGCATTCCACTTTACGGCAGTGGCCTGGAACCTAACCTGCTGTATAAGTGGGGACCTACAGTAATAGTATATCATTGATGTCAGCTATGCCTGTATGGAAATAAATGGTATAAAATACTGACACAATGAAAATATAAACACTTAAGCAGTATAATGTGATCCTTTCTTGACAACGTTTCGCCCATGCAGTGGGCTTTATGAAGTCACAAACATTTTAGTCGCCTCTTACAACACGCATGGTTTACAGAAGGAGAATTCTTTACCACTTCCTTATGGAGATAAGAGGAAATAAAGAAGAACAAGAACTATTAAAAAAGAAGAAAACCCAGATGTGTATGTATACATATGCGTGTACAAACACGTGTAGTGTGACCTAAGTAAGTGGAAGTAGCAAGATACACCTGTTATCCTGCATGTTTATGAGACAGAAAAAAGACACCAACAATCCTACCATCATGTAAAACAATTACATTTCACTCTCTCTTGGCAGAACAGTAGTGCCTCCCTGGGTGGTTGCTGTCTACCGACCTTCTACCTAAGATTATTATTAACCCTTTCAGAATCAGTCACATACATATACGTCTTAACACCTAGGGTTGGTCACATACTCATATGAGTAAATTCTAGTGCCTACAAATCTAGTGGGAGAAAGCTGGTAGGCCTACATGTGAGAGAATGAGTCTTCATGGTCAATGTGAATAGTATAAAAAAAAAATCTAGGAGCCAGTGGTGCATTGTGGGAATGCCATTTCAGTACACCTTGTTTACCATGCCTCATGGTAAGAAATACCTCACTTCCCAGCGAATTGGCACTCTTATTTTCCCAAGCGACAGTTCTAAGACAGATGGAAGTGCCAGTGATGATGAATATTCATGGTTTTGAAGAATTTGTGACCGAAAGCAATGCCCAGGAAACCAGAAGGAAGAAAGGAAGGAAGGAAGAAAGGAAGGCAGGAAGGAAGGAAGGAAGGAAGGAAGAAGTAAGGAAGGAAGGTAGGTAGGAAGGAAGGATGACCCAGACACCTTGATGACCATGAACCTAGGATAACCCAAAAAAGTCAAAGTGACTTATTTCCATGTGGGTGGTGGAGTGGGGAAGAAGGCATGGGTCCCCATGGGTGTTGGCAAAGGCAGTGAGGGTAGTGAGTAAAAGGGTATAAGTTCATTGTGACACCAGCCACATCCTGACTTTGCACATTACAAGTCTACCCACACACAAAACAAGCTTCCAGAAGCTCTAGCAGTTCTAGGAACATGTCCATTGACTATATATGTGTATAATATTACTATAGAACAAAAATAATAAATAAAAACTTTTTTATTGTTGGTCTGTGTGTACATGTTTTGTAAACAATGCAATTATAACACTGTTGTGAGGTTATTGTGTTGTATACAACCAGTGAAATATATACAGTATGTCTTGTATTGGTCTCATAAAACATATAAGTTTTCTTGAAAAAATAAAATATTAAAAAATAAAAGAAAAAAGTAGAATAATAGTGTATTAGTGAGTGACTGACAGTCACTGATGTTGTCGTAAGCGGTTCACTTTCTGTCAACGTCACGCCTCTATATCTTGGTATGTATTGATTGCAATTTTTTTTTTTTTTGGGGGGGGGGGGGGCTGTAACACTTAGAAAATTATTCTTAAGATTTTGGTAAGAACATAGTACCGTATCTTCGATAGTATGCCTACAGTCTTGGAAATTTTCTTAGAAATTTGTTGTATATGTGTATGAAATTTGAATCTATTATCAAGGTGGATTCCTAAGAATTTTCCCTCTGTTAGCTTTGTGATAAGTGATCCGTTTATCATTCTGTTAAGAGGGACATCTGTAGCTCTGTTACCAAACTGGATGAAGTAGGTTTTGTCAATGTTTAGTGTAAGTTTGTTAGTCCTCATCTAGGTAGATATGGGATTCTTTTTTTTTTTTTTTTTTTTGTAACTCTTCCTTAGATATCTGGTGTATTAAAATAAATAGTTAGTCAATTAAATATTGTAGAATAATACAGTGGACTTTCTCATACGTCTAAATTTTTGATTGACAAATACTGCAGATTTTGTATTTTCATTGTTTTAAATTTTTTGATAAATTATGATATTTTGTGTACTAAATTTTTGGTATTTTTGAAGGTTTTAGAATATTTTTGTTTTTAATAGTGGGACTGTACATAGACGATGGCATCCAGTGGTGAGAGATTCCAGACCTGATATAAACCTGGTTTTGAAGGCTAACAACATAACAGTAAGTTTATTTATTATATTTTGGATACAAAAATATGAGGAAAATAATAGCTTTTGCTCTTATTTATTTCCTTTCATCTCCATGGGAAAGTGGACATGAATCCTTTCTCTGTGAGCCATACCTGCCATAAGAGGTGACCAAAATGCTGGGAGCAAGAGACTAGTAACTCCTTCTCCTGTATAATTTGCTAAATGTAAAAAGAAGAAACTTTTGCTTCCTTATAAGAAGAAAAATTTTTCCATATACATAAGAAGAAACTTTGTTTCTTCTCTTATGGTCACCCTGACTCGATGGGAAACAACTGACCTGTTTAAAAAGCTTTTGAAGTACAGGATTGTTTTCTACAGTTTCTTAGTTTGTATAATGACTAGAAGACTCAAGAAAGCATTGTTCAAACAGTGGCAGCATTATTGACTGAGTGAGACAAACTAGAGGTACTGACTGCATAGGTTAATCATATGTACGTACAAGGTTTCCTTCACAGTTCATTCATCATTATTGAACTCGGCAGGTAAAGTCTCAACTCACTTTACATCATTACAGTAACTATGTTCTTTAACTGTTTAGTGCACCTATCAGCACCACTGAATGACTTAACCCTTTGACTGTTTTGGTTGTATATATACGTCTTACAAGCCACTGTTTTTGACATATATATACTCATATATATACTTATAAATGTGAGCAAAGTAACATTTATGAAGGGGTTCAGGGAAACCAGCAGGCCGGACTTGAGTCCTGGAGATGGGAAGTACAGTGCCTGCACTCTGAAGGAGGGGTGTTAATGTTGCAGTTTAAAAACTGTAGTGTAAAGCACCCTTCTGGCAAGACAGTGATGGAGTGAATGATGGTGAAAGTTTTTCTTTTTCGGGCCACCCTGCCTTGGTGGGAATCGGCTAGTGTGATAATAATAAAAAAATAAATTCTAGCGGCTTCAAATCAAGCAGGAGAAACCTGGTAGGCCCACATGTGAGAGAATGGGTCTGTGTGGTCAGTGTGCACCATATAAAAAAAATCCTGCAGCACGCAGTGCATAATGAGAAAAAAAAATTCCGACCATTTTTTTTCAATTAAGATGCTGACTTTGTGGTTTATTTTCGTATAGTATTTATGGTTGTATTCTCGTTTTCTTGGTCTCATTTGATAGAATGGAAAACATATTATAGAAATAGAGGTGATTTTGATTGGCTTTACTATGAAAAGAACCTTGAAGTGGAGCTCAAAGTAGGGGAAATGTTGATTTTTGCCAGTGTTCAAAAGTAAACAAATGATGTCATTTTCCAATAAATGTCCAAGTAGCCATTCTAATATGCAGTCATGAATAGGTTGACATTATTTATACAATTATTACAATATTGCAGTAGTCTGCATAACAGTAAATCTTCAATTTTTTGTTTGAATAAAAATTCAAAATAGAAAGCAAGAGTAATATTAGAGAGGCCTGGAGATGTGACTGATAAACAAAGAAAATATTTTAAAGCCAGGAATGTCTGCATTGTTCATTCTGGACCCTATTTTGAAATTGTCATATTTTTTAATTTTCGTGAAATTAGCCAAATTGCAAATTTCTGACCACATTATTGGGTAGTTGAAATTGGTAAATGGGCAGTTTCTTGTACTTAATTGATAGAAAAAATGGAGTTCTAAAGAAATAGCTATGAGTTTGGTCGACTGGAACAACAGAATTAGCCGAAAATGGGGCTCAAAGTGAGCGAAATCGCCGATTCGTAAATATCGCAGAGGTCGCTAACTTTGCGAGAGCATAATTCCTTCAGTTTTCCATCAAATTTCGTTCTTTTGGTGCCATTACAGTAGTGAAAAGATTCTCTATCATTTCATAAGAAATTTTTTTTTTTTTTGGGGGGAAATTTTGCGACACCAGGAGACACCACAGGATTTGGGGTTGCGACAGTCAAGGGGTTAACATTGCTGCCACAGTGCAACACTAGATATTGGTCATTACATATCTCATAAACTTGAATTTTTAATATGTACACTGTACATATAAACTTCAAGTTCATCTTATACTGGTAGGAGGTTGGTAGTTAGCAACCACCCTGCAGGTGTTACTGTCTTGTCATGTGAATGTGTTATGGAAGCCTGCTCAATGTTTTGTACTGTGATTGTTTTGTTTGTGTTCTGTTTTGATCTCAGGAACATGTAAGATAGTATGTAAATCTTAAAATTTCTTCTCAAATTCACTATACACTTTCTTTTTTTACTTTTACATGTTTCTTAATACAAGTCTCACTTGCATTGTTTGATAGATGCTTTCATGACCCACACCTCGCACTAAATTTGCATAAAATGAACACATTATAAACTGTAGAAAGCACTGTCTTAACCTACTTGTATTTACCAGGTTCGTAATAAGCAACGGTCTGGGACAGTGATTACAGATGAGATGCGAGAGGAATTTGCTGAGTTTTGGGACCAACACAAATATAATCCTCTGACAGCAAGAAACATTTTATTAGCTTCATTCTGTCCTCAGGTAATAAACCTTTGATCTGTTATACTATATTTTATGGTTAAATGGCACTTTTAATTGAGGAAGATGTCAACAAATTGATGATTTACTATTATGGGGCAAGCAAGAGTTTAGTATATTATCCACATTTTTAAAAATCAACATTTTTGGTTTTACTGTATTTAATATTAAACTTTTTAAATGTTGAAAATGCTGGAAAAAGTTCTGCTGAGATGTTATCAAAAGTTAATCCATCTTTACCTCTATACCTGTGATATTTTATTCCATGTGGCACTTTGCTCACCTTGATGATATAACCTTATAACATCAAGACCACTTGTTTCATGTGGGATCAGATGTAGTCAAGATTAACTGCTTTTTAACTATTTTTTGGGCCTAGCTCCTAGGAAGGTTCTTTCTGTATCCATGTACTGTTGTGTTACCATTCACAGGGTGGATATGGGGTGCACAATAAATTAGCTGCTTCTGCAGCAAAATATAAAAAAAAGTCATGTGGGACTTTCCTTCCCTTGAAATGTGCTTTTATAGATGCCTGTTTAAGTAGTTGAACACTTAAAAAAATTACTTAAAAATCCTGTTTGATAAATTGGATATCACATTATTGAAACAGATTTTATTTGCTTGCATTGCATTAACCCTTTGAGGGTCTGTCCCGTAGTTCTACTGCTTTGAAGCCGGGGTCCAAGCTGTAGTTCTACGCCATGAGCTCAGCTTACTCAGATAAGCTGTGAGCAGTATATCTGGGCCTAAATATGAGAGAATGCATCTATGTGGTAAGTGTGCACCACAGTAAAGCAAATCCTGCTGCACACGGTGCATAATGAGGAAAAAAACTGTGACCGTATTTTGGGATTAAAACAGTGACTTTTCGTATGTTTTTTACAGCTGTATTCACGACTTCTTGATCTCATTTGATAGAATGGAAGCTATATTACATTGGTTGGTTTTAGTATTGATTGGTTTTAGTACTGAAAAAGGCTTGAAACTGAGCTTAAAGTAGCAGAAATGTTTGATATTTGCTGATGTTCAAGAGTAAACAAATAATGTCACGTGTCTAATGCAAGTCAGCTGGTGGGTCTGATGTGCGTTCCTGAATGCGCTGATATTATTTATACAATTATTACAATATTGCATAGCAGTAAATCTTCTAGTTTTTGGTGTGAAAAAAAAATTTCATTCTGTGAATTAAAAATCAAAATGGAATTCATTTGTAAAGTCTGGAAACATAACTAATAAATGGAGGAAATGTCAGTTTAGTGGAAGGAATGCCTGCATTGTTTATTCTGGACCCTATTTTGAAAGTGGAATATTTTGAACTTTGTGTTAAATTGGCCAAGTTACCAATTTCTTATCACTTTATTGGGTAGTTGAAACAGTTGAGTGGGCAATTTCTTGTGCTCAATTGATAAAATACAAGTAATACTGGCAAAATAGCTAAGAATTTAGTTGACTGAAATAATGTAATTGACCTAAAATGGGAGTCAAAGTCGGCAAAATCACCGATGTGAAAATATCGCTGAAGCAGCAAAATTTGCAAGAGTGTAATTTTGTGGATTTTCCATTAAATTTTGTACTTTTTGTTTTATTACCTTCAAAAAAAAATTCTCTACCATTTCATGAGAAAAAATAACAAAGTTTTTTTTTTTAAAATTCTTGGACCTTGTGGACCCTCAAAGGGTTAATTAACCCTTTCGCTGTCGAGACCACTGCTCGCAAACTTGCTTTCAATGTAAAAGACTTTAAAAAAAAAAAAAATATTGTGAAATGATAGAGAATCTTTTTCCGATGGTAATGAAACCAAAAGTACAAAATTTGATGGAAAAACTTATGAAATTACTCTCTCACGAATTTAACGACTTCATCGATGTTTACACATCAGCAATTTCGCCCACTTTGAGCCTTATTTTGGGCCAATTCCATTGTTCCAGCTGACTATATTTATAGCTATTTTGCTAGTACAGTGGTCCCTCGCTTTTCGTAGTTCTCAGCAATCGTAAATTTCGCCAATCATAGGGGTATTTTCGTATAAACATGGACTCGCTTTTCATAGGTTGACTCGCGAATAGTAGTTCGTCCGGGACGTGTACGCACGGTGTGAGCCGGGGCGGCCTCCCTACCCAGCCAGTCTGGCATTGTTTACCAGTGAGTGAAGGTCCCCTCAAGTGCTCCTAAGAAATATTTCATAATATTCCACTCATTTTAGTGCTTGCAAGTACTAAATAAGCTACCATGGCTCCAAAGAAAGCTCCTAGTCCCAAAAGCCTGTAGTAAAAGAAGGTGAGAAGTATGTACAGTGACAAAGTCTTGGCCATTTTGGGGAAGTGTTAAAGAGACGCCAGAACGAGCTCTCTCCACAGTTACTTTGCGAGACGGGGACTAGAGTGCTCTCAAGGGGGTCCTAGTGGCATTAAGAAACAGAGAAGAGAAGCAACCCCAGAGAAGCAGTTGGGTACCTGAGTGTTGCTGGAAGGGGATTCCCCTTCCAAACTGTAAACAATCCAATCTCTCTCCTCCTCCAGTCCCCCATACACTAAGAAGAATCTCCAATAAAGGTAAGTTTATGCTGTTAATGTTTCATTCATCATTTCCCATTGTATTGTTTATGTACTACATGTATACAGGTCTCCCTCAACATTCACGTTTTCAACTTTCACGGGCTTCACACATTCGCGAATTCCCAACCGCCAAATTCCCAGCCACCAAATCATATTTAAGTTTCCTGCCACCTGCGAGTCCCTACTACCCTCCTCCGACCCCCGCAACTGGCAGCCAGCCCTCCCACCACTCAGTGTGGTGAATGTTTTGTTTGTTCATTATTTGCTATTAAACTACAGTATAAATAATGTAAACCCATTCATGACTGCATATTGGAATGGCTATTTGGACAGGTATTAGACGGTTGACATCATGTGTTTACTCTTGAACACTGCAAAGAATTAAACATTTCTGCTACAGCTAATAAAACAATAGTAATTTAAAAATAATAATAATAAATAATAATAATAAAAATAAATAGATATAATTGAAGAAGGAAATTGTAAAAAAAATACGAGGGAGTGGTTGACACATTGTCAGTGTGACTTTGTTTTTGCTGGGAGCGAACATTAGTTTCCCTGCTCTTCCAAACATTTCACAAAAATTTATTGTGTTTGGTGCTTTTAGATTGAGTGTGACTGGAGTGGTACAGGCAGTGATTGAGGCAATGGTATTTAATAACATACATGTTAATAATAAAAACATGTTATTAATAATATGTACTATTATTATTTATAACATGTATGCTATTAAAAACATACATGTTAATAATAATACATGTTATTAATAATAACATGTACTATTATTTTTTATAACATATATTTTATTAAACCACTGCCCAACCGCTGAATTATTGTGAAATTTTTGGGAAGACGGGGAGACTAATTTTCCCACCCCAGATAAACAAAGTCACACTGACATGTGTCAACCACCCCCGTTTTTTTTGTACAATTTCCTTTTTCAATTATTTCGTATTTATTATTATTATTTTTATTATTATTATTATTATTTTTTATTATTATTTTATTATTATTATTATTATTTTTTTATTATTATTACTACTACTATTGTTATTATTAGCAAAGAGAAATGTTCATCTTTGCTGTTTTTAAAGAGAAAACACATGAGTCACCGTCTAAACCTTTCCAATAGCCATTCCAATATGCGTCATGAAGGGTTTACATTATTTTTTCTGTGTTTAATAGCAAATAATGAAAAAACAAAACACTCACCACATGATGGGGGGAGGGCTGGCGCCAGTTGGGGGGGGCGGAGGGAGGGAGGACCGCAGGGGGAGACTTTGGTGGAGCATTGGGGGAGGCAGTGGGAAGTCGTGGATTTTAACATACATGTTATTAACATACATGTTATTAACCCTTTCGGGGTCCGTCACGTAGATCTACGGCTTTACGTTCAGGGTCCAAACCGTAGATCTACGTCATGAGCTCAGCTCACTCTGATAAACTGTGAATGGCACATTTGGGCCTAGATATGAGAGAATACATCTATGTGGTATGTGTGCACCACATAAAACAAATCCTGCGCACTCTGTGTATAATGAGAGAAAAAACTGAGACAATGATTTTCGATTAAAACAGCGAATTTGCAGTGTTTTTTCGTATGTTTTTTATAGATGTATTTGCGATTTCTTGGTCTCATTTGATAGAATGGAAGACATATTACTGAAATGGACTTGATTTTGATTGGTTTTAGCACTGGAAATGGCTTGAAACTGAGCTCAAAGTAGCGGAAAAGTTAAATTTTTGCCGATGTTCAAGAGTAAAAAAACGACCTCACACGTCTAATACACGCCAGCTGGTGGGTCTAATTTACATTCACAAATGTGATGATGATATTTATACAATTATTACAATATTGCATAACAGTAAATCTTCTATTTTTTGGTGTGAATAAACATTCATTATGTGAATTAAAAATCAAAATGGAATTTATTTGTAAAGCCTCAAAACGTAACTAATGAACAGAGGAAATGTTAGTTTAGTTCCAGGAATACCTACATTGTTTATTCTGGACCCTATTTTGAAATTGGAATATTTTGAACTTTGTGTTAAATTGGCCAAATTACCAACTTCCGATCACTTTATTTTGTAGTTGAAACAGTTGACTTGGCGATTTCTTGTGCTCAATTGATAGAATAGAAGTAATACTAGTGAAATAGATAAGAATTTGGTCGACTGGAATAATGTAATTGGCCTAAAATGGGAGTCAAAGTCGGCAAAATCCGCGAGAGCATAATTTCATCAATTTTCCATCAAATTTCGTACTTTTTGTTTTATTACCTTCACAAAAAAATCTCTACCATTTCATAAGAAAAAATAAAAAAAATTTTTTTTTTTGAAAATTCTTGGACACTGGGGCACCACTTCAGATTTTGGCGTTGGACCCTGAAGGGGTTAAATAACATACGTTATTAAAGCATAACATGTATATATTTAGTACAATTTACG